TAATACATTCATCTTAATCGATACACCACAACTAAAAATTATCAGATTCATCGGTTAGAGTGCAGACAGTCAGAGTTTTTGGCAGAATGCGCCAAGCAACGGTAAAACACAATAATACCTACCTAGTAACGATATACAATAATAATAACAAGACATAAAAATTCACAATATATAATAATAAATAACATATTATTTATGTATATATTAATGCGTATAAACATATACATTAATAATATACATATCCATTAATAATACACACATATAATAATATACCTCTACATTAATAATATACATATCCATTAATAATACACACATATTAACAATATACATCTACATTAATAATATACATCTACCTTATTAAAATACCTATCCATTAATAATGTAAATCTTAATAATACCCAAAAACCTCACCTGTACAAAATACAGCCCAATACCCACCTCCCATCGATCCACATGTTCAATGCCATATAAAACAACAACATCGCCACCGGGTCATTAAACAATCGCAGAATAAATATCGAGTGAATTCGATACGATATACAACACAATAACAGCAATACAAACGGAGGTATCTAAATTATTATTATATAAAAACAATAAACAATAAATAATAAAAAATAATAACAAAAAACAACAAAAACAATAACAACAAATAACAAAAATCTCACCCTCCCACTTCTGTAATAAATCCTAAACACCAAAACCAACGTCACCACATACAATCCCTCGAATATATACTGTCCCAATCTGATATTCTTACCACCCTCAGTCACCGTACTCAGCACACCATACACTATCAAATGACCTGCTGGGTATCTGTAATTACTTATATATTAATATATACAATAATTAATAAATAAATAAACATATACAATAATAATATACAACATTAAAGTATATACAATAATAACGCACAACATCAAAAATAATTTAAAATAATAATATACGACACCATAAAAAGTATCGGTCAGAGCACAGACAGTCAGAGTACATTTGCCACCATCTGCCACTCCGCGGGCAGAGATTCAGAGACCTCTCAACTAATAATTCAAAAACAATAAATAACAATAATAAACAATAATAAATAAACAAATAAACAATAAAAAACAATAATAAACAATCAAATAAATAAACAACTCACACCACCGGCCCCGTATCACCCCCAATCTCCGAATAATTTCTGATTCCCCGCTTCGTAAAACACTCCACCTGCTGCATGTAAGTCGACCAATCTATTTCTGTATCTATAAATTAACCAAAATAATAATTAATAAATAACATAAATAAACAAACACAACAATAATAAACAATAAAAATAAACAAATAAACAATAAAAGTAAACAAAAACAATAAAAATAAACAAATAAACAATAAAAGTAAACAAATAAACAACAAAAAATAAACAAATAAACAATAAAAATAAACAAATAAACAATAAAAACAAACAAATAAACAATAAAAACAACAACAATATACAATAAAAATAAACCCAAAATCCCAAAAACTCACACTTCACTCTCCAAATCACCAAATTACACACCAATAATTCAGCTAACACCAAAACCGTCGCCACCAAAATAAACCCGTTCCTATTCACCGTCAGTAAGAGCTCAGCCAACCATTGAACCGCCCCTGCGACCCCTCCACCGCCTCTCCCTCGTCTTATCTCCACTTTATTCGACATCCTACAATAAATAGCAAAATAATACTATCTATAATAAATAACCTAATACTACCTATAATAATAACAATAACAATAAATAAAAACAACAAACACAATAACAATAATCTAAAAATCCATATAAATATCATCATTAATCAGTATCGATCTCAACTGATCACTCCAAACCACCGCAAAACCACTTCCAACGCCATTTCCAACATTTTATCAATACAACGCATTCAATACAATTCAATACATCATAATACCATTAACAATAATAATAACAATAATAATCATAATAATACCAATAATAACAAT